AGGCAATGCAGCTAGTAGTTTGTCATTCTAGACTTAATTCAAAACTTAACGGTTCGTGGGGGAATCCTTAGTTTATTCGTAATACTGTGACGACTGTCACAACAACCCTAGTGGGATGTTTAACTAACATCCTCCTTCGTCAGTGCCACAACTCTAGCTTTTCCATGAGAACTTTAAGCAAAGCAAGTGACATGATTATGATTTAGTTTGACAGTTGGTGAAAGTTTTCGCATTCTTGTTAGGCGTTCGAATAAAATTCTCATAAAACACTGGGGAATTTATTTCTCCTATTAACTCCAATTTAAAAAAACTGTCAAACATTAGGCCTTCAATACAGATACGTATTGCTGTAGCATCAATGTACAAAGTAGTTGGTGTGGATTTTTGCAGATAAGTTTTCGCTTCATGGAATTAGAACAGAGTACATGCTAAATCTATATTGCAAAATGTATGAAAACTCGATCTGAATTATTTTACAGTTTACGACATACTACTAACAAATTAATAAGTAGTCTAAATATTCACCTTATTTTAATAGCTAGTCAACGGAAAACGGTATCTTCTACTGGTAATGAAATGTTTGACGTATGTATATTAATAGTGATATCTTAATTTCCTTATTCACTTTCTTCTTGGTTAGCATCTTTATATTTGAAATTTTCAGTTAGTGTTTTTACAGATTTGAAATCATCAATCAATCTATCATTGTTAGACCACCATTAAAAACCTGGAATATATGCTCACTAGTGACTAGCCTCGGGAGGAAATTCTCGGAGTTCTAATGAGAAGACCTGACTAGTAGAGTTCAACCGTGTTGGGTGTAGGCCGTAACTACCGAAGACTGTGTATAAGGTTGCGCAACTCCATGAATTGATCGGAGTTAGGCATTAACACTGTTTCGTCCTGGTATGGGACTCATAAGCAGTGCGCATCCACGACTCTTGTACCTTGCAAAATTCGAACCCAAGACCTTTGGTCTTGAGCGCGAATGCCCAACCTCTGGATCACTAAGCAAGCGGCATCCAATGGTATTAGTGTCTAACTTCGAGCAATCCGTGGTCTTGCACAACCTTATCCACTATTTTCATTAAGCCCTACTTCACATCCGAACAGGTCTGAAATCCTCTGATCACGACTTCTCACTGAAACCTTGCGAAACTTCCGCATAATTTTTAATGTCAGTCTAACACTGATCGATTCATGTTGACAAAGAAACCGCTAATTCTGAAATTTTATTTACTTTTCAAAATAATCGTGTTTCATTTCTTACAATAATCTTAGAGAAAACCCACACGATGGTTCTCAATAGTTTTTCATTAGTTAGCTTTGATTTTTTTTCTTAATCGACTCATCTACCAACATATTGTGGTGCAAGCTACTTATAAGTAGTATATGACGGGAGTAAAAACGTAATGTCTGGCGCAGCAGAAGATGGGGGAAGATCAAGAAAGGAAGAGTTAGAACACAATGGAATTTGTATGAAACGCATGAATAGTGACAATGGATTGATGTTTTGCAACAGGAACAGTCCTGTTCGATATGATGAACTGGTAATTTGCAAATGAACAATTTACGATATGGTTTTCCGATTTTACTCAGTAACTCTGTAATTCCCACTAAATACAATTCGGTTGCCCCACTTGTGTTCTCGTTTACTACAATATACCTGATTGTGTTAGGTTCGTTACTAGGTACGCTTGAACTTATTACGTGTGTACCTTAATCGATAAACGCCAACGAGACAATGAACCAGATAGGCTACCTTGATCCGAAAACGTCAAAACAGAAGTCTTGATATAGCGTAGGGAGTATATTCTACAAACACCCAGCAATCACACAGTGCAATCAAGCATACAACTCTCGTTTATTTATACATCATAGAAACGTCCTTGGGACAGTCACAAAAAATAGCACACTAAAATACACAACAGTCAATCACAGTCATGGATTTTCCTGGTGGGAAATGTGATCTCAGTATCAACTGATCAGCCCATCCTCACAAACATGAAATCCAAAATTAAGGCATTTATCAATCGAGTTCTGGGGGATCTAACGTCCCTAACAGATTATTAGTTTGAAAATTTTCTATTTCAATATTCAGCATTCTTTCTAATTTACTGCTGAAAATGCTAAGCCTATCGTTAGTCTACTTTTCAATCAATCAATCAATCAATCAGTCAATCAATATAATCTACATCGGTCGGATATTCTACTACGTAGGTTCATTGTAAAGACAAAAAATTATTCATTTATCATGTAATCTGTTAAGAGGTATTTTGTCCTGTAAAAAAAAGATGTAAACGTAAAAATTTAGTTTTTTATTCAACTAACATGTGATTAGGTAAATTAGTCAGTTGGCTAATATTTTGAATGACAGATAGTTAGGGCAATCATGTTACATGTTTCAAGATCATTCAATGAATTATGTTTTGATTCCATGATAATTAATGCATTTCAAATTTTTTTTTAAAAAAAACATAAACGATATTATCATGGTAACGGTTCTATGTTCAATAATAATTATCTATACCAAAATTCACTTTCGTTATAGATAATTGACGTTAGGCTTTGGAATTACGAAAGTACAAGAGACAGTGAACTTATGTTTTTTAAATCTAGATTTAAACTTCTCAATATCAGTAAACTCTCGTAGTTTCATGTAGAGTTTAACTACCATACGAAGAATTTCATGATTGAATCATTGTTATCCAGAGGTTCACATTACTTACTTACTTACTTACTTAGTAACGCTTGTTACCCTCAATGGAGCATAGGCTGCAGACCAGTATTCTCCAGTTTACTCTGCCTAGGGTTTCTCTTTTCAGTTCTTTCCAATTTTCGTTCATTCTTCTCATATCTTTCTCTATTTCTCGGCATAATGTGTTCTTCGGTCTTCCTTGAGGGTTCCACAGTAAGGGTTTGTGCAAGGCCTGGAAAATATTGCTGAGGACTATCTTGAATTCTTTGAGTTTGCCAGTTTGTCTCGTTGTCCAGTGTTTCTTGAGTTTCAGTTTGATTTTAGCGACCAGCAAGTGGTGATCTGAGGCTATATCAGCTCCTCTCTTGGTTCTCACATCCTCTATGGTCTTTCTGAACTTTTTATTGATACAGATATGGTCGATTTGGTTCTGAGTAGTGTGGTCCAGTGAAATCCATGTAGCTTTATGTATGCATTTGTGTGGAATTGTTATGCCGCTGAAGACTAGTTTGTTGAAGGCATATAGGTTTGCAAATCTCTCATCGTTTTCGTTCCTTTCTCTCAGTCCGTATCGTGCCATGATATCTTCATATCCAGTGTTGTCCATTCAGTTTCCCGTGGAAAGTTCATATCAAAATTTTGTGACGATATCCACTCCTTCATTGTTCGAACATCCCATTTACCTAAAAGAATAGTTACTCTGGTTGTCAGAAGGAACATCGGCCTCGTGATTTCCAAGGGAACTCGGCATTCATCATGAGACGTCCTAATTCTTCGGAAACAAGACCTTGTAACTCCTAGGGCAGAGTTAAAATGGTTTGAATCGATTTTTCTGGTTAGCATTTTCTTAGCGAGTTAGATATTTTGTGAGATGGGGTCGTCAACCTAAGCCCGACCCTCCTCATTTATCCGTGCTTGCGACCGTCATTAACCCCAGAGATAGGCTCCAGGCGGAGTTCAGACCTCAATCAATTCATCATACAACACAACTATCTTTTAAATAAAATCATTTCCATTTTCCCGCCCTGTATTTCCTTTTGAAAACAAATTACATCTAATATACTCACATAAAAATAACCTTCAAAAATCGCTATACTGACTTGATCTTTCAATAATCCCTATTCTCACTTATCGATCAACTCATATTCGTTTATTGATCAATAAACAAAATCCCCTTTTTTTTGGCAAACGTTTCCCCTCAATACTTTATTTTTTTCTCTCGATCATTTGTCCTTGAAACTTGTGATCATGTTTTTTTGCATATTTATAAAATGCCGATTCACATTTTTCATAGATTGAACGAATGTAAGTAAGTAAATTCTCATCTGTTATACAGACATTAAAAATTTTCAATAAACCAATTAAAATGCATCAACTTTGTTGGTTGGTTGTTCGCATGTTTGGTTTTTTCCCCATGTTAATTGCCCTTTTTATTATCATTGTGTTTCATTGTGTTTCATTCTCTTACCGTTCATGATTATCAAACTTTAATTTTCTTTGTTTTCAAAAAATATTCTCCTCATCTAATATCATTTTTCTTTTGACTTGTTATTGTTGGTGTTGCTTTTTTCCCATCTGAAACTTTTTTACTCCCTTTTTCTCCCAATATGTTGTGTGTTTCAGTCAATGTTCTCTCATTCATTCATTCACTCACTCACTCTCTCTCAATGTTGTATTGTTTGTTGTTCAGTAAGTAAGTAAGTAAGTCTTAAAACCTTATTCGATGAATAGATAGATAGATAGATAGTTAGATAGATAGATAGAAAGATGGATAGAGAGAGATGGCTTAGTTAATAGGAATTGGTCGTATTCTCTATACTACTCATAAGTACTGCTTACTAATCATCATCATCATCAAAACAATATCAGACGATCTGGTCTAATTTAAGAATAATCGATAAATCTCTACGCCTCTATTTATATTTAGATATATCTATATATATGTATATGGATAACCTGTCTACCACACGATCTCTCTTAAAAGGATATATAAGTAAAAAAATGTCAAAAAGTGTTGTGATCCACGCTCAAAAATGATATTTTCTACGATAGATCTGTTCATAAAACTATGCTATACTATGCCGATGGTGAAATATACAATGTCCTATTTGTGTTTACTACGAAACCTCGATGTACAGTTAGAAATTGTAGCTTTGTGTTAAACTACACTGTTTGTGTGTGATTTCGGCCAAATAATAATAATAATAATAAATAGTTGTTAACACTTACTTCAAAATACTTATGATTACTTTGTACTTATACTGATAAACAGTATTACTCGCAACAGTGTACATACCTATTGATAACTTCTATTCAAAATCATGATAAATATTACATCATTAACTCAACCACAAACATCCCCGCATTCACGTCGATCTAGTTCTATATCAACACTTGCTTTATATAATACAACAACTATGATGACAAATAATAATTTCTCTCATTCTAATCATCCTCCTATTCAACATCAACATCATCATCAGCATCATCATAATAATTCCACTGGAACTAATCTTTACACAAGACAACAACAACAATATATGCAAAAGAAGAAATCACATCGTTGGCGTCTAATTCGAACACCAATCCCCTTGAATCCAGTTTATCGTAAAACATTATTTCTAGCTATTAGTATACCATTTGTTGGTGCATTGCTGTTTATTGGCGCCACATTGACACCATATTGGGAGAATGTTCATTTTAAATTTGTAAAATTGTTGACGCTGTTTTCAGTGAAACAAAACTGTTCAACATTCAATGATTCATTGGTGAATAATAATCAAACTGGATTATTGATTGGTCAAGAATCCGACCAGTGGATCAATAATCATCAAAATAATCATCAAAATAATAATAATTATACATTAGAATTTATTATATTTCAAGATGGTCGAATATTGAATTGGCGTAAAATGAAACATTTCTATAGAGATTGTTTAACAGTCACGCATAAACTCAATGATATTATTGGTATTGTTGTACATGCAGAGAAACATATCATCTCCACTGAGAATACACTGAAACATTTATCACGTGAACCGATCACACCGAGATTATTTACACGTAATAAGTACACGTTTACACGGCATGAATGGATACAATTAGTGGAGTATGGTGATTTGTTGGATGATACGCAAGATGATGAATTGAATAGGAATTTATGGTTGATAATGAATTTACAAGCTGGTATTTGGACAATGTGTTTTCGATTAGCAGGTAGGTAGGAAGAGTAGTTATATTTTATTTTTGGAAAAAATTTTGCATTACAGTATTGTGGAGATCAGAGGTTTTTTACATATTGAAAGACGGTTTGAGACTCATCAACAGTGAGCATCTACGGCTCCTGCTACTCTCAAGCGGGATTCGAACCCAAGACCTTCGGTCTTGTACGCGCCCACGCCTAACCTCTGGATCACTGAGCCAGCTGGCATCCAACGCTGTTCATGTCTAACTCTGATCAATCTAAGTATGTTCGAGCAACCTCATCCATTTTATTGTTAGTAAGTAACTGCTTAAACTGGACAGAGTTGACACCTCCGCTCACATCTTCTTACCTAGAACTTTGAGAATTTTCTCATGAAGCAAGTCACTAGTTAACATATTGTATGCAGATGGCTCTTTATTGATAAACTCATCGATTATTACCAAAGATAATTTTGATTTGTATTCATTGATCAATGAATAAGTAGTGAACTAGTGTTTTTGTGGTGTGAGCTACTTATGAGTAGCATATGACGTGAGTGTCAACGTAATGTCTGGCAGCAGAAGATGAGGGAAGATCAAGAAAGGAAGAGTTAGAAGAACACAATGGAATTTGTATGAAACGCATGAATAGTGACAATTGATTGGTGTTTTGCAAATGAACGATTTACGATATGGTTTTCCAATTTTACCGAGTAACTCTGTAATTTTCGTTAAAAATGCAATTCGGTTGCCCCACCGGTGTTCTCGTTCACTACGTTTTATTATTATATAAAATCGTATTGTTGTTCAATGAATTACCCTTGAATAAGCATCAATGTTCCATATTTAAAGGCAATTTCCAAACAAAAGTCATTGGAGATAGATTTTTTTTCACATTTAGCTAACAAACATCAACATAGATTAGATATTATCTTTGAGAAAAAAAATAAATGCGCTGTGAAATCCAAATTATTTTGGTAGTGGAGCGACGTCAGGTGTCACATGAAGTCATATGATAGTCGGTGACCAGTAGTAGATGTATACGTCATTTTTGCTGTGTCGAAATCCTGTAGTCCATCTATACCGCTGATTTGAAAATCAGAGTTTTTAAACTCCTCCAGATGGTTGGAGTGCCGGCTACTCGTTTTTTTGTTCTCACAATTTCATAAATAACACTCCTAGTATGAAAAGGCAGTGAGTAGAACTTTCTTGACAGTGAGCTTTATTCACATGTTTATGTGAGAGAGAGAGAGAGAGCACACTATTCCCTTTTGGCCGTGCCAGAGTATTTAACCTGTAAGGATATTGACAAGCTCTACAGTGTTAAATAACTGACATGCAGTCTGTCAACTGAAGGTACAACGTGATGATTATTGATTTTTTTTAAAACTGTGCATAATATCATTACGAATTCCAGCATTAAAACAAAACAGTCCTTGAATCTGTTCAATTTTCAATTTTATCAATATTCAATAACCATGTTTTTCTTTCTTTTTTCTCGGTTCAATGTTTTCATAATTCAGATGTTTACAAGCCTAAACTTCTTGCATACAGTTCAACAATTCATCCGGATTCAAGTATACCAATTGATTGTATGTCTTATCTGCAAGCCAACTTATCTGAAACAAGAAATTTATGCATTCAATTTCTTTTAAGTAAGTCAAATGAACTAATGCGGAATTGAATTACATCGATTTATGATTTCGTCTGTGTGATATTGTTTACTGTGACTCAAATAGGAAGCTTCTATGTTAGAAGTCATACTGTAGTGAAGGAGAACACAGGTGAGGGCGACGGAAGTGTATTTATCTCAAATTACAGAGTTAATCGCTAAAATAGGAAAACCCTATCGTAAATCGTTAATTTGCAAAGCATCAATCCATCATATCGAACTGGACTGTTCCTGTTACGAAACATTAATCGATTGTCTGACATTTCATTGTTCATGCGTTTCATACAAATCCCATTGTGTTCCCGCTCTTCCTTTTTTGATTTTCCCCCATCTTCTGCTGGCAGACATTACGTTTTTACTCGCGTCATATACTACTTATAAGTACCGCGCACCACAATACTAATATAAGACTGATGGTGTTGGGTTTGATCTTCATGTGCGGAGTAGTGGATGTTCAGTGCTGATGATTTACACATCAAGATGAAAAGGCCAGCCAATGTTTGCCGGTTTTAAACAGTGACCTTACATTGATCGGGTCATTATTTGCCTGAAACTCAACAATCTTTACAACCGTTTTTACTACAAACTATCATTGATTCATAATTTGGGAAGGTATCGAACTACTAAATTGTCACACAATTCTGTCTACAAATTTCGAAACGAAAATTGACAAACAAACAAATTGAAAAATATCTATTCATTTTGTAATAGTTAAATTTTAGTACGGAAAATTCAATACATGTTTAGTCGATATATAGTTTAGTTTATTTATTGATCAATAGAAAAGCACTGAAAATTGTGTAATATTTAAAACAAATAACGTAACTTTGTAGTTTTATCGGAAAACTCTTAACCATTTTGTAATGATAAGTATTAAACTTTACTGAAATTATGAATCGATCAGTGTTAGACCACCACTAGAGACCTACAAGCACTGGTTGGCCGTTTCATCTCTGAATGGAACTCATCAACAGTGCACATCACAGGAGTCAAACTAAGGACCTTCGGTCTTGCTCACTAACGCCTAACATCTGGACCCCACCGCTAGTATCTAACAATAGATGAGGTTGCGTAAGACCATGGGTTGATCAAAGTTACACACTGGCTCAGTGGTCCAGAGGTTAGGCTTCTGAGAGCATGACCGAAGGTCCTTGGTTTGAATCCTACTCGTTTCATGAATCTTGGATGCACACGACTGATGAGTCCCATACTAGGACTTGACGGCTGTTTAGAGCTTTCAGTTTTTTAATAGTGATCTAATCCTAATCGATTCGTGATTTCAGTAAAGTAACTCAACAATCTTCACAACCCTAGAACAAACTCACAAAATTACAACCATATGCAAATGACAGTATATGTAATTGACGTGCTTTTTTTATGACTTTCATGATTAGTTTATGCAAAAATCAAATCAACATTTTATCAAGTAACATGTAAATATCGAGGTAATCCCTAAATATTCATAAAAGCAATCAGAAAGTACCGTTTTGTTTTCCTCATAAATCACGACAAGCAGATTAAAATATTTATCATTTGAAAGGCTAATGATAGGCTAGCCGTGTATTGAGCGAAATAAGCGATATACTTACTTACTTGTGCCTGTTACCCTCAATGGAATATACACTGCTGATTGGCATTTGAATTATTTTTTCTGGTTAGCGTTTTTTTTAAACGAGTTAGTTTTCAATGGGATGAAATCGCCTACCCTATGCCTAAATGTGGTGTTCGAATGAACTAGTGACTTCTTGGTTGTTGTTGAATGCCTGATTTCGAATTCTAAGTACAGTACATCCTTTCGTGCTTATCTAGTAGTTCTTGATCCACTTACGTTATTTCTGGGATTATTAGTTCACTCTATAATTCAAATACTTCTAATTATCATACTAAACCTCCTCCTTTATCCGGGCTTGGGACCGGCAGTAACCCCAGGGAGGGGCTCCAGGCGCATGAGACACTTTCATTGTTCCTCTTCTGAACAACAATATCAGCACAAACTTCAGATAGAAATGAAGTATTCATAATTCTTCACGAATGACTCGTAGCTTGTTTTGTTAACCTCAATCTTGATTAGTTGTAGTTGACCTCAAAACCTATTGTTGTTTGCTCATTTATTTTGATCACTTTCTCCCTTTGATATGTTTGTTGATCCGTTTGTGTGAACATCAATCAGCAGTCCAACGGCATGACATTTCTTCCCTGATATCAATACACACCGACAATTATGGACATACATTCGATTAGGACTATGTGGAAATACAGGAAAGGGGAAGGACAAAGAAGACTAGAGAATTTTTATAAACTAGGCACTCACGTCAGTCAGCAATCAACAAACACATCGACATTGACCCAATTTATCAACCAATGAGAAAAACCATAGGTGACATAGGATCAAGAAACAGATCAAAGGCCTATACAATCAAACTAAAAGTACACACAACGATAGGTTTTAAGGTCTACTACAACCAATCAAGATTGAGGTTAACAGAAGAAGCTACGAGTCATAAGTGGAGAATTTCGAATGCTTCACTTCTGCTATCTGAAGTTTGTGCTGATAATAATGCTGTTCAGCAGTAGAAGAACAATCGAAAGCTCCACAACCAAGAAACATCCTGCTCGGAGGGAACGAAACACCATCACAATAGAAATATCTTTTAAAATAAACTAACATCAATTTGTGCAAGTAAGCTTTCTTTCTTACTAAAAAAAATAAAAAACACCTAAAGACAGTTTAATGGAAAAAAAGCTTCCCAGTTCACAACAATATCATTTTGTTAGAGCTGTAAAATTGTGTCTTTTCAAGTAAATTTTTACTCATAGTAAAGTAGGATTACACTATGAAACAAAATTATCACTAATAGGTAAATGTAGTGTTTTGTTAAACGTATAGAATGTAATTAATATCTGTGTAACTTGTAAGTGTGTTTAATCAAATTCATTTATGACAGGGTTATGAAGATTGATAAGTTACACATTTTTGAAACCATGAATCGATCAAAGTTAGACCACCATTAGAAACCTGGAAGCACTGGACAGCCGATTCTTCCTGGTATAGGACTTATCAGCTGTACGCACCCACGATTCCTGAAGCTTGCAGGAATCGAACCCAGGACGTTCGTTCTTAGGTGGGCAAATGTCTAACCTCTGGACCACTAAGCCGGCCGCCAATCAACGGTGTTAATGTTTAGCTTCGATCAATCTAGTTTCGCTCTCTCTTGATATTATATAATTTTATTCAGCTGAATAACCTCATACTATAGTGAGTACAGTGATAGTTACCTGTTCTGCATTCGATAAAAAACTACTTGATATTTCGGTGTATTTAGAGAAGATCTAATGATCGGTAGATATTGTTTCATTTACTTACTTACTCGTGTTACCCGAAAGGGATCATAGGCCGCCGACTAGTGATCTCCAATTCATTCTGTCCTGTCCAATTTTTATTCATTCTTCTTATGTCTGCCTCCTTTTCTCAGTGTAATGTGTTCCTTGGTCTTTCTCTTTCCCTTTGACCTTGAGTGTTCCAAGTGACGGCTTATCTTGAGACGCATTTGGGTGTTTTCTTGAATGTTTGTCCTATCTACTTCCAGCGCTCCCTCTTGCTCACTTGTTCTGCTTTAATCTGGTTTGTTCTCCCCCACAATAGGTTGTTGCTGATGGTGTTTGGCCAATGGATCCGAAGAATTTTGTATAGGCAACTGTTAATAAATGTTTATCTCTTATGGATGACGGCTATCGTAGTTCTTCAAGTTTTCACTCATTACAGTTGAACTGTCTTGACCTTTGCATTTAAAATCCTTTGTTGTTGGTTGATAGTTATTTTGAGTTCCAGTTGTTCTTCACTTGTAGACATACTGTCCTTACTTTGCATCCAATACTAGTGCAGTGAACGAGAACACAGGTGGGGCAACCGAATCGGATTTAACGAATATTACAGAGTTACTCAGTAAAATCGGAAAACCATATCGTAAATTGTTCATTTGCAAAATATCAGTTCATCATATCGAACTGGACTGTTCCTGTGTTGCAAAACATCAATCCATTGTCTCTCAATATTCATGCGTTTCATACAAATTGCATTGTGTTCTAACTCTTCCTTCCTTGATCTTCCCCCATCTTCTGCTGCGCCAGACATTACGTTGACACTCACGTCATATACTACTACTTATAAGTAGCTCGCACCACAATAGTTCGATTTAATCTCACTGTTTTTATTGATCATGTCCGCTGAAATAGAACAATTCACCTCCAAGTGTAGTTTCACATACAATTAGTTACACACACACACACTAACAACACTGAACACTCCATTGGGGATAGTAGAATCATTGTTTTTTTTCAATGAACTGAACTAGATTAATGACTGCATGACTGACTACATTGGAAATTATTGATCTTAAATGAGTTATCGATTTTTTTCTCTCGTTACGGATGAATTGTTGTTAAGCTAGTTAGTGAAACGCCTTAAATGGATATATTTCCACTCTTGTAATTTGTAGTAAATTTTAGTTATTCATGGGATTATAGATAGAAATTGATACATTTATGTATATATATATACTACTTAATGGTAGGATAATAATTGACGAGACAATTTAATGTAAATTATAACAAAAGTATTTTCAATGCGATCAATTCAATTTTATTGATTAGTTAGTTAGTTAGCTAGTCTGTCTGATTGTTTGATTGTTTGTTTGAATAGAGTGAATGTTTCAATATGATAAGTTTTTTTGATGACAATCTACAGTCTGATGTTCAGTGGTGTTCAATGTGCGTGTGTGTGTGTTTGTAAGTATGGAAATTGTAACGATTTTATTACACGATATACATCCTATGTAATTAATGACATTTTTCTGTTAAAATCTAATGATATCCGTTAAAGGAAAATATTTTCAATTAGAGTTATGAAGATGAGTGTTTTTTTACACATTTTTGAAATCATCAATTAATCATTGTTAGACAGACCACCATTAAAAACCTGCAAGTACTGGACGGCCGTTTCGTCCTAGTATGGGGACTCATCAGTGATAGTGAACATCCACTACTCCTGCAACTCGCAGGATTTGAACCCATGATCTTCGGTATTGTGCGCGAACGCCTAACCTCTGGACCAGTGAGCCGACTTGAATCCAACGGTGTTAATGTCTAACTCTGATTGATCTAGGGATTTTGCACCACCTCACCCATTTTCTTTGGTAGTTACTGCCTACACCCGACAGGGTTGAACTCCACTGGTTGCGTTTTCTCACTAGAACTCCAAGAATTTTCTCACAATTCTAGTCACTAGTGAGCACATATTACGATATTTTCAATTAGAGTTTTGAAGGTTTGCGTTTTTACACATTTGAAATTTACAGTTTGTAGAAAAAATGATACAACCAGACAAAAGTTGTTGCTCTCGTCAATTGATATGTTTGAACTATTACGAGTTCAACTTAGTCGGTAAACAAGAGTGAAGACAAATGATCCAGTTACACGATAGGCTACTCTAATTCGAGTGTCGCAAAGCTCCACTAAGTAGAGGGAGAAGTCTTGATATGGCGTACAAAAGTGTATTGTACAAGCACCCAGAAAATATAAAGTCGATAAACACACAAATAGTGCTTATTTGTACATGATAGAAACGTGCTTGAGAGGGCCTCGAAAATAGTGTACTAAAATAATACATTAACCAAAGACGGTCAAGGATTTATGAGTGGGAAATGTAATCTCAAGGTCGGTTGATCAGCCTGTGTTCGAAAACATATAATCCAAAATTAGGAAATTTATGAAGTGAGTTCTGGGGATCTAACGTTCCCAACAGTCGATCAGTTTGGTTTGAAAAATTCTACTCTCTTTAGGAGGCTGTATTTTAATCCGCTGTAGTGGAAAACTGTCTCACCAATTTAATTGGATCATTTGTCATCTGTTTTCATAGCGTTTTTTTAGCGAGTTAGTTTTCTACGGGATGGGGTCGGTAAACCTATGCCCATCCCTCCGCCCATATCCGGGCTTGAGGATTCTCCTGGCGGAGTAATTAATGCCGTCTTAGACTATGAAATATTCATGTCATTTATTTTTATAGCGTTTATTTAGCTAGTTAGTTTTCTGAGGGATGGGGCCGCTCACACTATGCCTAGGCCTCCTCCTTTAGCCGGGCTTGGGACCCACAGTAGCTCCAGAGAGGCTGCAGGTGGAGTTATTGTCGTCCTAGACTAGGAAATGTTTATATTGAACAGTTTCTTTCCTGAAACTAGTAAAAGATTTCATTTGTTCCTTTGATCCATGTTGTTCAGTGGATGAGCTATCACTGATACAATTTATCAGAAATCCCTAATTTTGCAATTAGAACATGAATACATCATTGTTAGACCACTATTAGAGACCTCCAAGCACTGGATGGCCGTTTCGTACTGGAATGGAACTCCTCAGTTTCAGTGCGCATTCATGACTCATACTACTCGAAGTATTTGAACCCAAAATAAAAAAAATGTGCTCACTAGTGACTAGCTTCATGAGGAAGTTCTCGGAATTCTAGTGAGAATGTAGAATTAATGCGTGTTTTTAAGTTTCGTAATAAGCTCGTTCAGACAATCGTTGCCAAATAGCGTCTGACGATTTATAAATCAGAAGATGAATTCGTAGTGATGAATATGTTTATTCAGAACACACCACAAAGCGAAGCGGAGAAGCAGTGAATAAAACGAAGGAAGCGAATAGATAGGCGAAGCGCGTTGGAGAAGGCTAAGAGCCAACTCACTGAGACAAAGCATGACTAAGAATTTATAGTCATACAAAAATAAGACAGACATATGACAAGCGAAATAGGTATGCACACACATGAATAAAAGCGACGAATGATTGACAAGGTCAAAAGCAAGCGGTACAAATCATGTGAGTTCATGGGGATACTAAGAGATTAACATTAAAGCGAAAAGGATGAGTCAGCGTGTAGGCGTAAGCGATGCTCAGTCGTACAAGCTCATACAAACCAGATAATAAAAAATACCAATGGTACATATAAAATATGAGCGAACTCAAGTTTATGTGGAGGCACTATACAGAGTTGAACGTTAACACCGCCGAATGACACGCCGACCCAGTAGTTCAGAGTTTGAGCGTTCGCGCACAAGACCGGAGGTCCTGAGTTCGTGGGGTCCGTGGACCCACACTACCTACGTGTCCTATACCATCATGAAACAGCCACCATTCGATGCTTCCATCTTTTCTAAATGTTGATCTAACAATGATTTTATTCATGAATTCAAAATAAATCCACTCTCATATTAATGCAATTTTTTTCTCACATCTTTAATTTTCTCATTCAAAATCTTTTTTTTTCTTTTAGAAATGCAAAATAATATTATTTCATGCGTTGTGGTCGTTTATCTATCCGTTGCAGCATCTGTATTGATCGGGGCGTTTTCAATTTTATTTCGTGCTGTACCTGCAGCTATGGTAACTGGAGTATTGTATATCACATCAGGTTAGTTAATTAGTTAGTTAGTTTGTTTGTTTGTGAACTGGGTATTGTAAACAAGTTCAAAGTTGTTTTTTTTTGTTTTCATTAAATGATCAAAGTTTGTTTATTTGTTTGTCTTGTTGTATTTTGGCGCTCGATTTTGTTTAAATTTTCATTGATTGTTAGTCTTCACAACGTTTCTGTTCATGATGATCGAAACACATTTGGGAATGACATCAGGAATTGTACATGTTTTTAAAGTTTAAAAAACTACAAACAGATATTATTAGATCAAAACAGTTAAATTGTAATATTAAGTACAAAAAAGTGTACGGGGTCACAAATATTACTCAAAAATTACTGAAATTAAATTCGTAATTCATAGTCATCATTGAAACTACTGACACAATGTTGTCTTGCAGGTAAAATGTGTTAGAAATGTAATAGTGTAGTGAAGGAGAACACAGGTAGGGCAGCCGGATTGTATTTAACCAAAATTTTAGAGTTACTCAGTAAAATAGGAAAACCATATCGTAAATCGTTCATTTGCAAAATATCAGTTCATCATATCGAACTAGACTGTTCTTGTTGCAAAACATCAATCCATTGTCACTACTGTTCATGCGTTTCATACAAATTCCATTGTGTTCTAACTCTTCCTTTCTTGATCTTTCCCCATCTTCTGCTGCCAGACATTACGTTGACACTCATGTCATATACTACTTATAAGTAGCTCATACCACAATAGTAGCGATGAAAATTTTAATCTCTTGGCAAGTCAAAAAGAGAATTTTTTCAGAATTACAAATATATTGTACTATTTTGGCTGTTAGCGTAACTGACAAATAAATCTTCATGCATAACTCGTGACCAGTGAAGTTCAACCCTGTTCGGGTGTAGACAATAATTACTGAAGACAGTGTATGAAGTCGTGAAAGACCGTCAATTGATCAAAGTTAGACATTGCCGGCTCAGTGGTCCAGTGGTTAGGTGTTCGCGCTCAAAACCGAAGGTCCTAGGTTCGGATCCTGCCAGGGTGCAAGAGTTGTGGATGCGCACTACGGGTGATTCCCATACCAGGTCGAAACGGCCGTCTTTCAGTGCTTCCGGGTTTTTAATGATGGTCTAAAATTGATTGAGTCATGATGTCAATGAATAAATCTAGATAAATTTGGGCATTAACATTCAAACAGTCATACCTGAAAGTCAACATAATGGGAGAATAAGAATAGAACCGGAATTATGATGAAACTTCAAAGAAGTAAAACCTACAAGTTCAACAACCTCTTGCCCATCACTTCGAATTCTTGAAGCAAGTACATCAATGCTTATGTTTAGACTCGTCTGCTGAAGGTACTATGAATACACTGCCTGGAAGAGTATTCTAGTTTATGAGGAAATTTCCCTGAAATACATATAACCCCAGATATACGCGATCTTATTCAATTCTTCATGTTTTCCTAAGATAGTTAATAACGAGTATCTCGTTAGGTTTCGGAAAAGCTATATTTCCGATACACTACAGGAACAGACTGACTTCATGGCTTTCATGTTAGCTTAAGGAGCTTCAAAGGAGCGTGCAGAAAACCATGTCAGTCCAGGAGTAGACAAACAGAGAAGTTGGATTTGAAAAGTACCTAACAAAATGTTCAAGGATGCATGAAATTAAACTGTTACACTGAATGGAACAAATCTGTAGTTCGAAAAAGTGACATCTTATCTTAGTGTTCACCCTCTGATGAGGTACGATAAGTATACTATGATCAGGTTATACCTTATTGATTTTTATACTAGAGTAAAAGTAATTTCAAATGATGAAGTCGATCCTCATTCAATTTCTTCTCTACAATATAACTCATTTTTGTATGTCACTTTAATTACTCCAAAACATCTACTTCTCTTGTACAAAAAGGATCAATAACATACTTATATACGAAAGAACTTAGTTGAGTAACCTTAGGGGGTTAAATTTGTAAGTATTATCTTCAGTCTACTACTTCAATACCACCATTAAACTCCTCGAATATTCTGCAAGTTCAATGACACTCCAGAATTCTATATCACCCAAAATAGCGAATCACAATTACCCGGGTTGTCTTTTAGATAACAGAATATTTTTTAGATACATGTAGATTCTATTTCGCATACACAATTTTGAAACAGTTCAAGTTTTCATTGAATCTAAATGCACTTATGTTGGGAAAATGAGCAAACGATTTGATGGTAGACAGTTTGTTAATGGACAGGTTGCAAGATGTTTAAATTCGGGAGTGTTGAAATGCTCTACCATGTGATCGTCACTCACATAAATCAAGTTATTGGGTAAAGCAGACATAGAGAAAACATCTACACGAATCAAAGTAGTCTGAAACGTTCTTATGTGTATTTGATGTCTGTATGGATGACTACTAACAGACTAATGAAATCAAACTAAAACAACATTATTCTTGTACAATGATTGTTCACTTTTGTGTTCAACAGAAGTGATTTGTAGACGTCTATCCAGTTGGAAAATATTTTCCATCATATACAAAGGAGCGAGAGTGAGAGACCATTGAAAACAAAAAAAACAGAATAACTTTATCATTCATATATGTGACTTTTCGGTAGTAGTGCTCACTAAAATCCAAACTATTATTGTAATCATTGTTAGACCATCATTAGAAACCTAGAAGCATTGGATGGGCGTTTCGTTCTGGCATGGGACTCATCAGTGGCAGTGTACGCCCATGACTCTTGATATTCGCAGGATTCGAAACCAGGATATCTAGTCTTGCACGTGATCACCTAACCTCTGTACCACTGAGCCGGCATTCAATGGTGTTAATGTCTAACTGTGATCCATCTCAATCGATCGGTCGATCAATAGCAACGCAGAACTTCGTACGTACGTACGTACATCAGTTCAAGTTGCCATACCACATTAGCACAAAGATGTAATTGTCTATTCAAATCCCATAGTAGTAGGCGTAGTAAAGGTATTAGAAGTAATCGGAGAGGTTAGGATTAGAAGATATTATTCAAGAAGTAGAATCTAGTGAAATAAACTTAAAAAGATAAAGGTGTTGAGGAATGCAGAAGGTTAGCATTTGAGAGAACACAAAGAATGAATGCACCTGTGCCATCGCAAACATTTTTGAGCCATGACATCCAAGGTCTCTCTTTAACCATCGATTACTATCATCTTGTAGAAACCAACCAGGTAGTCAACACCTAACAACATGACTCAGTCCACTTGTCAGTGACTTTATAGATTTTTGTGCTGTTTTGTTCCGGAGTTACTGTCTACACCCAACAGCGTTGAACTTCACTGATCATGTCTTCTCATTACTAGAACTCCGAGAATTTCCTCACAAAGAAGCTAGTCACTAGTGAGCTCATTTTTTGATTTTCCATTATGGAGATCGTTGTTTTTTGACAGTTGTCCTACCTGTGTCCAATGCGTTTCACTGATGCCGAGCACCTCGAGGTTGTATCTTTTCATTTCTGCCGCAACTTGAAATAGTCTTCAAGTCTCCCACAATGTACGGACGTTCCATGTACCTAAAAAAAATGGTTGCTCTGGTTGTCAGAAGAGGCATCGGCCCCGTGACTTCCGAGGGAACTCGGCTTTCATCACGAGACGTCATAATTCTTCTTCCAACTCCCAGGGCAGAGTTAAAATGGTTCGAATTACTTTTTCTGGTTAGCGTTTTTTCGGCAAGTGAGATTTCGACGGAACGGGGTCGCCAACCCTCCTACTTTATCCAGGCTTGGGACCGGCAGTAGCCCCTAAGGTTCTGCTGGCGGAGTTTGTTTGTTGACATGTTGACTAAATATTTATTTTAAAGCATAAAATGTTATTAAATATTCTACCATATATCATTTTATATTTTACTGTAGGTGTGTTCATTATTTTTGCAAATTGTATTCACCATACAAAATTGAATCGTCTTGAATATGAATGGGGACCATGCTATCCAATATCACAAATACCACGTACAGTAAGTGTTTAAACTTTGAAATGCTCTGTCTGTGCATCATGTAGTCAATTTTATCAAACTGTTTGTGGTAGCCAATGTATTGGGGATGTTAGATTCCCAGAAAACTCGCTTGATTAATGCCTTATTTTGGATTTCACGGTTGCCAGCATGGGCTGATCATTTGACCTTGAGATTTCATTTCCCACCAGCAAAATCCATGGCTTTAATTGGCTACTGTGTATTTTAGTGTGCTATTTAATTGTGACTCTCCCAAGGACGTTTCTATGATGTATAAATAAACGAGAGTTGTGTGCTTGATTGGATTGTGTGATTGCTGGGTGTTTATAGAATATTATACTTCTACGCTTACCAAGTCTTCTGGTTTGCAGTTTGGGATTCAAGGCAGCCTATCTGGACGCTGGTTTATTGTCTCGTTTGCGTTTATCGACTAAGGTGAACTCGTAATAGCTTCAAGAGTACCAAGCGATGAGCGTAACAGCCAACAAATAAGTAATTGTTTTAACAAGAATCAATTCAATGATTCCGCCTATTATGCATTAGACAATTATGTGGATGATAGTTTAAGCTTGAATTAATGAAGGATTTATTGTTAAACTACCATTGTGTTACGCTCTCCTCTAGGTATGCGCTTAAACTATTACGAGTTCACCTTAGTCGAATAACGAGAACAAAACAGGTAGGCTACTCTGATCCCTCGACCAAATTGTATCAGCAAGAAGTCTTGATAAAGTGTAGAAATTGTATTCTACAAACACCCAACCAGCACACAATGAATGAGAGTACTCAAATTGCGTTTATTTATATACTCTATAGAGATATCTTTGTGACAGCCACATAAATAGCACACTAAGATTACACAGTAATCAATCAAGGCCAAGGATTTTCCTGGTGTGAAATGTGATCTCAAGGTCAACTGGTCGGTCCATGAAATAAATCCGAAATAAAGATATTTACCAAGTGAGTTCTGGAGATCTAACATCCCCATCACATTGGAAACCTGGATGCACAGGATGGCTGTTTCCTCCTGCTATGGAACTCATCAGAAGTTTACATCTACGACTCCTGTTACTCACAGGATTTGAACCTAGGAATTTTGGTCTCGCAAATCTGTTGATTCATAGATTTATTATTTTTCCTCAAGAGAATCTACTCAGTTAAAAATGGCAATTAATTAACTTACTTAAGCCTGTTACCTCCGATGGAGCAAAGCCTGCCGATCAGTATTCGCCAACCTACTCTGTCCTGAGCCTTCCTTTCCAGTTCTGTTCAATTTTTGTCCATTCTTCTTAAATCTTTTTCGATTTCTCGGCTTAATGTGTTTCTTGGCCTTCCTTTTTTCCTTTGACCTTGAGGGTTTCAAGTGAGAGCTTGTCTTGTGTCATAACTCATTCAACTCTAATTCTTAAAATATAATTGTGTGTTTTTCTCCAGCATTTTCAAATTGTTTTGCATTTGTTCACATCTAAAATTCAACTTCATTCTTTAATTTTCGATTTCAGGAAACATATGTACTTACTTAAGCCTGTTATTGCTTGTAGAGTAAAGGCCACCGACAAACATTTTTCAAGTTAACTCTATTCTGGGCTCTCTTTTACACTTATTTCCAACAGCTAATAATGTTTCCAATTTCTGACTCCGATTCCCGGAGAATATGTTCTTTCGCCTACCACTTTTCCTTTGGCCCTGGAGATTTCAAATTAGGCTATGGTTTGTGATGCGATTGGGTGACTTCAGTAATATATGTGTTCTATCCAACTGTAGAGTTTTTTCCTCAGCTGAAAGATGAAATAATGAGATAACACGTTTCACTTCTCCTCGTAACGGATATTTACATGAACTAATTTTTCTTATCAATAATTAATGCAGGTCGATCAATATTCTGACACGATGTTTGTTTTTATAGGATAGGGTTGCGCAGATTGTTGAGTTACTTTTTGAAGTCATGAATCGATCAATATTGGACCATCAATAAGGAAAGACGGCTATTTCTCGCTGAAGACTGAAGGTCTCGGTTTCGAATCCTGTGAGTAACATGATGTTGTGGATGTGCATTGCCACTGCAGAGTACCATATCAGGACGAAATGATCATCCAATGCTTTCCAGATTTCAAATGGTAGCCTAAAACGTTTTTATCTTTTAATCAAACATAGAATAATTCGCATTACGGGATTGTGAAGATTGTTTAGTTACACATTTTTGAAACCATGAATCGATCATTGTTAGACCACCATTAGAAACCTTGAAGAAGCACTGAAAGACGGCCGTTTCGTCCTGGTATGGGACTCCTCATCAGCAGTGCGCATCCACGACTCCTGCACCCCGCAGGATTCGAACCCAGGACTTTCGGTATTGTGCGCGAACGCCTAACCATCAGAGGAGGAGTCCCATACCAGGACGAAATGGCCGTCCAGTGCTTCTCACAGGTTTCTAATGGTGGTCTAACATTGATCAATTCATAGTTTCAAACATAGAATTATTTTTAACAATTCATCGAATAAATTTTTACTTCTGCTCTTTTTTTGATTACATTTATAGTTTTACACACCAGATATAATCAGTGTTCATCCATTATGGCCTGTACTAGTCAGTTGGATATCATCATTTGTTTTCTTTGTGGCTTCCATTACATGGCTTATACTGACACAATTAATGACATTTGAAAATTCTATCACCATGATTTAATCAAACTTTTGAAACTTGTTTATCTCTCTCTCTGACTCTCCTATTCTTTCCTAACCCTAATTAATGCATTTTTAATGAATTCAGGCAGAATTTTTGAATTTTCCTCAAGGTCACGTGTTTGTTTGTTTTTGTTTTAATTTTGTATTAGGTTTTAAACAAATAGATATCGCGCATTTTTTTGTTTTTTTTTGAAAAATATGAAATAGACATTTTTACAAAATGGCTGTGTATGTTGAGAAGTTTATGGGGTATTTTTTTTTAAAGAATAATGTACTCAGTTGTATTGACTTTTTCCAAGAAAAATTCTCTTCTACCATGGAGAAACCAATTGATTGTAAATATATAGAATATTCTTCACTTTTTATCAAACTTATCTTAAATAATTTTGTGACAAAAAATGGATGCTTATTATCACTCTGTCTCTCTCTATCTATCTATCTATCTTGAACATACATTTATATTGTAGCCAATGAGAAAAAAAGGTATCTACATAAATGTATATTTTTAAGAGACCATTATCTTACTTCCTTCCACTCTTCTTCAATCTATAAGATTACATCAATATACATAGTATGATGTCAAACAGTTAGTATTTTATTGCATGATAATTTTTCAAACTTATGTAGAGATATGTAATGAAAAACGAAGGTAGTATGGTCGTAAATGATAAGTTACTTACTTACTTACTTACTTACGCCTGTTAACCCCAATGGAGCATAGGCCGCCCACCAGCACCATTCTCCAACCAACTCTGTCCTGAGCTTCCCTTTCTAGTTCTTTCCAGTTTGTGTTCATTCTTCTCACATCTTTCTCTATTTCTCGGCGTAATGTGTTCCTTGGCCTTCCTCTTTTCCTTTTACCTTGAGGTTCCATGTGAGGGCTCATCTTGTGACGCAGTTACGTGCTTTTCGTAATGTGTGTCCTATTCACTTCCACCGCTTCTTCCTGATTTCCTCCTCTGCTAGAATCTGGTTTGTTCTCTCCCACAGTACGTTGTTGCTGAAGGTGTCTGGCCAACGAATACGAAGTATTTTGCGTAGACAACTGTTCATAAATACTTGTATCTTCTGGATGATGCCTTTCGTAGTTCTCCATGTTTCCGCTCCATACATTAGAACTGTCTTGACATTTGTATTGAAAATCCTGATTTTGGTTTGGGTTGAAAGTTATTTGGAATTCCAGATATTTTTCAACTGTAGAAATGCAGCCCTTGGTTTGCCGATCCGTGCCCTCACATCTGCATCGGATCCACCTTGGTTGTCGATGATGCTGCCAAGATATGTAAAGGTGTTAACGTCCTCCAAGGCATCTCCATGAAGAATGATTTGGTTGGTGCATGTTGTGTTGCATCGGAGAATTTTGCTTTTTCCTTTATATATATATTGAGACCTACTGCTGCAGATGATAAGTTGAGCTTGTTTAAATGTGGATTGACATTTTGCGAACGTTTGATTTATTTCGTTTGATGCGTAAACCACTTGATTCAACGATCATATAAGAAGCATTGGTGTAAAGTCTATTTCACATTTGACATGTCTGCACTTCGTCGGTCACAACGTCCCTCTAGAAATTCAGAATCTCATGACAAAGCAAGTCATTAGTAACCATAGAGGGTTACAACGTTGGATTAGTTTGAATATAGTTTTATATAGTAGATGGGTATTAGTCATAGTAGAACGACCTCAGGATGCTGTTAAGGAGTCCCATAGTGGGACGGAACAATAGTATAATGCTCTATATTTTTCACTGATATCCTAATTAAGGTCATTCTTTGAAGAGTACTATCTACAAATGTAACTCGTCTTCACAAATCCGCCTCATCAACACATGAGATAAATCTTAACTTCGTGTACATTCCTCAAAAATATTGCGTAATGCACCTCACAACTTATAAAACCTTAGTCTGACAAAGTTCTTCTGTTCGACATTGTCAAATTTTTTTATTTGACAAGTGCCTAAATGCCCTAGTTTAAAGTCTTACTTTTCGCCTTGAAATATCAATGAGATTAAGTCAGGTTCAAAGGCTAGAGTATTAAGGAGCGGTGTTTTAGATTTTTTTCCCTTGTTTTTCAACACCAACCAGAGATAAACCAAACTGTCCTAGCGGAAGATAAGTAGATAATTCATAAAACTGATTCACATGAGTTACTATTTGAAACGTGACAAATATTTTCAAAACATATTTTAGAAGGATGTTGGTTAACAGTTGATGGTAGATTACGATTGCGACTCATGTTTATTCGAGAATCCGATTTTTGAGGAACAAAACTAACACTGAGTAGAATTTTACCATGCAGTTTCTTCCCTATAAGGCAAAGATTGAGGATACATACATTTCTGAAGATATTAGATGACTTTCATGATACAAGTCACCTGAAATCACTAGATGGCCGTCAAGTCCTGGTTTGGGGGCTCGTCAGCGGTGCGAATCAATGGCTCCTGCTACTCTAAGGCAGGATTCGGAACATGGACCTTAGGCCTTGTGAGAGAACTCTAGACCACTGAGTCGGCTGGCATTCAACGGTTTTAATATCTAACTCTAATCAATCTGGAGATTTCACGAAACCTCACCTATTTGTCTTCTGTAGTTACTGCTTACACCCGACACGGTTAAACTCCACTGCTCAGGTCTTCTCTTTAGAACTCCGAGAATTTCCTCACGAAGCTAGTCACTAGTAAGCACATTATACAATTTTCCACTATAGAGTTATGGAGATTCAGGTTTATTACTGAAATCATGAATCTGTGCTTCCAGGTTTCTTATAGTAGTCTAACAATGATTGATTCATAATTTCAGTAAAAGTTCATTTTAATGAAATAATGATCATGAATATGACCTAGATGTGCTTTTATCAAAACAAATCAATAATCTTTTCGCGCCGCACAACAAGTAGGAAAGGTACTGCGTAGAGAACTGGTCAATGAATAATACTGATGTCAAAAAGTTTCAAGATCTTAGTTACGACGATTCGTGTAAACTATCACTTTTCGGTTTTTTAATGATAAGTTCATTATCAAAATATATATTGATTGTAAAGGGAATAGCCATTTTATGAAAGGGATAGATCAGTCATTGCCTACAAAATAAATTGCATCACGTCTGAAATGTAATGAAGTAGGTTAGAGCTGGCATGCTCTCTAACTTACACTCTTACAAACATAGATCAGCGGTTAAAGTAAATACCACGACGTCCTTGCTAACATCAGTGTGCATACTGTAAGGATATTCATCAAATATCCTAAGAGAATTATCGGTCTATTCCGATTGATTAATTTCTACTGGTCAATTTTATGGTCAGCCTAGATAGCAATGTTACGTACTCCAATGTTGTTTCTTATTGGTTGTCCTGACTATCAATGTCACTTTAAATGTTGTTTCGTATTGGTCGTCTTAACTGTCAATGTCACAGGCTTCGATGCTGTTTCCTTCTCAACCTGAATGTATAAATACGCATTATCTGTAACGTTTTATGACCCGGTCCCGGATGCCTAGTCCGTGATCCTGATTCTCTTCTGGACTCGAACCCCGTACTTTCTGGATGCTTGTAGAATACAGGTTCGACTTCATATCAAGTCTTGTTTTCTTTTACTCATTATGGGGGTTGGTATAATTGGATTTGAGTACCATGTCGTGTCGCTGGATCCTCGATCCTCGCTCTCGTTTTCCGAATAAGGTAAACTCGTAATAATTCAAGCATATCAAACTGACATTTTTACGTTCATGCGTAACAAATGCTGATTTAGAACTCAACGATCCAGATTTAACGCTACATTTAAGAGTACAATATGACACGATAGTCAGTTAATGCCTCCGGTTCTAACAACTACACACTTGAAGTAGTTTGACTGCACCAGGCGAAGCTTCACACTATCAGCTGTACAATTCATCTTGTAGTTCATTATGACTACAGAAACCACTTTCACTTGAACCTTTAAAATGTAGTGTCAGTTTGGAATGAAACATATTTTCTAATCAAACTAATCATTGTGAACTCATTTCCTAGTCATGTTACTTACTCAATCATAAACAAGTCAAAAGAAAAACAAATCAGACAGGAAACGTATACTATGCCGCTCATCTATAGGATGCAATGAACCAGTTTCATTTCATGTTCTTTTAACCTTTAACAAAAGCTTTTTCAGAACATTACCTAGAATGTTTCATGAGACCAGCATTTCATCAACTCTTGGACATGTTACCACCTCATTGGAATCATCTCTCAAAATAATCAACTTGAAGCCACAGTGAATTAATTTGAAAATTTTACAATCGAGACTTGACTTTTAGTTTTGTTTACTAAAAAAAGATAAATGCTGTCTAAATAATTACAACCCCTTGATTGAATATAATTAATTTTCCGATAATATACATTATACTCAAGAGTTTTGGTTTATTCTGATACCGAAATTATGTCAATCCTTACAGAGATTCATATAATAGATTTTAACAATTAACATTAGGTATTATAATCTGTTACACTAATGATTTCATCGGCTATCTGGTATTTGGAATTATTTTTATGGTCTCCACAACATTGAATATTTTATAATTTAAAGTCATACTACTGAAAAACTTGAAAGTAGGTTAGATTGATCAACTCTATTGACTATAATTGCCATGAAGTTGGAGAGCATTGAACACTTATTTCTTCATAGTCGTGACATTAGTAAGCAGATATTGAATGTATGTTACCGACAGATATAATAGATTGGTCAAGTTACACGACTGTGATTTATTAATATATCATGGACGATTGCAGAAATTCATTTCCGTTAATGATTCATTCAGCTATATGCGCATATTACTTCTAACAGTAAAGCATATTCTAAAATATGCAACATGATACCTAAACATATTCACATATACTTGCAACGCAGGTAATCGAGAAGAAGAAAGACTGATATTTTAGAATTTTATTTGATATGCATTTATTAATCAAAGGATTTCGATAGCATGGGACGCGAAGGCAGTACAATGTACCCATTTAAAATAATCAACGATCAACTTAGTTTTCACACATTGAAATCATCAGTCATTGCTAGACCACCGCTGGAAACCTGGAAGCACTGAAAGACGACCGTTTCGTCTCGATATGGGGCTCATTAGCAGTACGCATCCATGATTCCTACCGACCACAGAGGATTCGGACACAGGACCTTCAGTCTAGTGCGCGGACACCCAACGCTCGGACCACTCGGCCGGCATCAAACTGTGTCAATGTCTAACTCTGATTAATATAGTTTTCCTTCACTAGATTTGCAGAGATCATCATAGTTAGAAGTCTTAAATTCAACATAATGTCAGTCTATGTTAAAGTTATTCGTTCTCATCAATATGCGTCTTGTCTCGCGAACACATTATAGAGCCTATCAGTCTCTCTTTATATTTTGATTTAGACTAAGTGACAGATTTCACTGTTATTTATAAATCTGCTGCGTTCCTTTCAGGATCAAAATTTCACTTCAGAATCAACTGATTAGTATACTATATATTCCCTAAACTCTAAGTAGTCTTCTCGTCCAATGAAATACCATATACATGTATCTTTTAAATTAGCTTAGACTACCTCTGGTCGAATATTAAAATCACTTGCTATCATTAGTGATTCTGACAGGAAAGCAATAATTATTCCTGTTGAATGAATAAAATCACCAATCAATCATTGTTAGACTGCCACCATTAAAAACCTGGAAGCACTGGATCGCCGTTTCGTCCTGGTACGGGACTCATCAGTAATAGTGCACATCCACGACTCCTGCTCCTCGCAGGATTCGAACCCAGGACCTTCGATAATGTGCGCGAACGCCTAACCAACGGACTACTGGGCCGGCATCCAACGGTGTTAATGTCTAACTGTAGGGATTTCGCGCACAATACCGGAGGTTACGGATTCGAATACTGCGAGGAGCAGAAGTCATGGATGCACACTGCTGATGAGTCCCATACCAGGACGAAACGGCCGTCCAGTGCTTCCAGGTTTCTAAAGGTGGTCTGACAGTGATGGATTGATGATTTCAAATGTGTAAAAACGCAAACCTCCAAAACTCTGCCCCAGAATGAATAAAAGCAAGAACTCATCTTTTAAAAGTGTTTTTTCTTTCAACACAATGTAATCATGAACAAATCATTATTAGACCACCATTAAAACACTGGAAGCCCTGCAATACGGCCGTTTCTTCTTGTTTTGTGGTTCATCAGTGAGTGACATTGAACATCCACAACTCCTACAACGCATAGGATTCAAACCTAAGAACTCTGGCCGTTTAGTCATTCAATACAGTACTCTAATGTGTATACCCTGAAGTCACAGCAAGAATATGACAAAAGTATAAAATCCAACAACAACAATAATGAAAGGCAATCAGTTTTATTTAAAAGCCTAATATTTCTTTTTTTTTCGAATTGAGCTTTCACAAAAATCAATAAAACTGATAGTAGTAAATAACAATAATAATAATAATAACAATAATAGTAATAATAATAATTAAAAATTAATTTAAATGAAAGAAATAAGAACAAATTAAAACAAAACAAAAAAATCATTCAAAGAGACCAGCTCCATGAACATAGAAAATGAAAAAAAAAACACTCACAATAAAAATGATCATTATATTCAAACACTGTTCAACATCACCATCATCATTGTTTTGTTTTACTATGCTGTGCTGTGCTGTGCTGTGTATTTGAAATAAAACGAAAACAGTCCAAATAACCACACACCGACATCCACCGACACCTACCGACACACACACATTCATTAGAAAATAGAACCAAGGCAAAATACAACACAATGAACACCAGTGCGCACATACACATGTACAAATTGAATGAAACCAAAAAATAAACAAACCGAGTTATGCAATTGGACACTGAACATTTTTTTAAAAAAACAAATGAAAATTGTCTAGAAAAAAAAAACAAAAAAAAATATGTTTTTGGAAGAAGCCAGAAAAATAATAATAATAATTATGTTTAACAGTAAATGACAACGAACGAACTACTTAAATGGTAGTAGTAGTAGTAGTAGTAGTTCATGGTAAAGTAAACAGTTGTTTGGTATCAAAAGAACACACAAACACACAAACATTCCTAGATTTCATAGTGTTTGTCTGTCAGCTTTGGTTTAGTGGATAGAGAGAGAGAGAAAAATACTTTTTGTTTGGTGAATGGTAAGAAAATCCCAGATAAAATATTTTTTTTCTGTTAAAATAGAAAAAAAACATCCTATTTTCGAAAATTTTTTTTTAACAAAGTTAACTAATCAAATGGAAGTCATACAAGAGAATAAGGGGAACCAACCAACCGACCACCAAAAAAATGATTATCACTTGACAAAACAATAGTAATACTGATCATGGTAATTTTCAAATAACTATTTCTACTACTGATAATAATAATAGTAGTTAAAAATGAACAATCACAAAAAATTGCACCAAAATCTAAACCCCAGATCTATTGATCGATCGAAGTAGAGCAAACATCAATGGAAATTACAAGTGCATTCATCAGAAAAAGAAACTTGTAATGAAGGTCATTAGAAACGCTGTTTCTGTTTTTTTTTGTTAGAAAAAACAACTTCTAGTACATAAAATTCGAGAATTCCAATGAATATTTCCAAATGTTGTTAAAACTGTTTTAATTCTTCGGTTTTGAATATGATAGAAAGATGAAATATACCGAAAAATGAAACAAACCAACAGCCAGATAACGAATGATAACAATGATCATTGTGTTTTTTTTCCGTTTCATGAATGTCACAAAAAATGATTGATTATTTGAATAGTCTAACAACAAACTGAAGAATGAATCTGTAAAAAGGAAAGATGAGTAGTGAGTGTTCTAGTGAACTATTTCATGAATTAGAATATATAAAAAAACCCTATCACTTTATGTGTGTGTGTTTGTGTGTGTGTGTGTGCGTATTATATTATCTGTGCATGTATGACCTTGGACAGACGTGTAGATAAAACTAGTTTAAATTATGCAATGAAGAAATTGAACATTGAAAAAGTGCGGTGTTTTCGCGCAAAAACCAACTGACTGTGAATAGTAATAATACTAGTAGTAGTAGTAGTAGTGAAGTACTGCTGTAAAACAAAATGCATCATTTGAAAACTGAAAATAAAAAAAAACCAATAATAATAATTCCTAGAAAAAAACAGTGAATTCAAATATGTATGTATCGATCGATAAGTTCCCTAGACAAACGTTTTTTGTGTTGGTGAGAATATCAAATCAATCACTTGATATTATGTTGCTCATGTTGGTGAATTGCATATATATATGTGTATATATATCACAGAAATATGTAGTATATTTTGAACAACAAACACTATTCGTTAGTCTTTTTTTAAATTACCGCCCCGTGTTAAACATCGTTATCATGGTCATGGTCATCATCATCATCACCATCGTCACCAAATCCTGGTGGAAAAAAATATTGCATAGTTGGCTGTTGTTGTTGTTGCTGTTCTTCTGCTGTTGTTGTAGTTCTCAACGATGGTTGTGGTATTTGTGTACGTGGTGCTGGGAATTGTGGCGGTACTTGTATAGTCGATGGTCCAGGTAGTAAATAACGTTGTTGAGGTTGTTGTTGGTGTGATAGTGATGATTGTGTATGCGCTAATAATAATGGACATTGTGCTATAAGATGAGTTGGATCACGACATCGATAACAACGTCGTCGCATTGGTTCATATGGACATGTGGCAGCTTTATGTGAAGCATATTGTCCACAGTTATAACATCTAAAAACGATATGGAAAATTTTGAATATTTTTTTCGAAAAATAAACGAAGAATTGGCAATCAGGTTTAATATATTTGTACAGTCGACTAGTCTATCATCTTTCTTTGATCTTGGAATAAGTCACAAATCATATTTTTGATCACCCAGTGTACAATTGAAACTGACATTATAAACTTATTCAATTGAACACGTCAAACATGAACAGTTTAAATGACAAACAATTTTAAATTTTAGACGACTTATTTCAACAGACAGTTTTGTTGTATGGGATGGAAACTTGGCGAACAAACTACCAAAGCGATCATCTACAAGATACAAGTATTTATTAACAAATGTCTACGGAAAATACTTTAGATCCGTTTGAAAAAGACAACAACTGACATATTGATCCAATATCCTAATTATTGGTCAATTCCTAATGGTTAATTCTTACTGGTCAATTTTATGGTGCTCCTAGATATCGATGTCACATGCTCCAATGTTGTTTCTTATTGGTTGTCCTGACTATCAGTGTCACTTCAAATGTTGTTTCTTATTGGTCGTCTTTACTGTCAATGTGACAGACTTCGATGCTGTTTCCTATTCAACCAAAATGTATAAATACGCATTATCTGTAACGCTAGATGACCCGGATACTTATCCTATTCTGGACTCGAACCTTGTATTTTCTGGATGTTTGTAGAATATACGTTATACTTCAGATCAAGTCTTCTTCTTTCGCTCAATTCGGATTTGTGCGGTTCAGATTAGAATAGCCTGTCGTGACGCCGCACCCTCGATCCTCGCTCTCGTTCACTGACAATGGCGAACTCGTAATAAGTCAAGCATATCAATCTGGCGTGGTCACGTGCAATTGTAACACTGATATATATATATATATATATATATATATATTGCGTAAATAATAGTAATATAGTAGTTTTAATAAGAAACATATTCATAGAGTAAACAGTAACACTTTGATTGACATTTTTAAGCTGTCCATTCATGTCTTCCTGTGTCTAAATGTTTTCAGAATTATTTATTGAGAACTAGTCATATATGTTACTAATGCCATCGTTTTTTCCCGGCGAACGACTTAAAATGCCACCAAAAGTTGCTTTAAAGCTGTTATCAAGCGATATGACTTCACCAATTCATTTCTCTCAGAAATTTTAAAGTGGGGAATCTTCAGAAATTCAAATGATTCATGGATTTGGTTGATTATAACAATATGAGGAACGTGAATACGAACATTACATCCATTATACCTGTTCCAGATGTCCGACACCAATGAATAAATCTAGTTGAAACAGTTGTTTTTTACCATTCGCTTCTAAATATCAAGCATAGTATTTTTTGATTTGATTGTGACCAATTTGGTCTCGTGTGCTGTTACAGGTATGAAGGCGGATGTCACTTCCCGGCAGCCCACACAAAGGAAGGTTGATTCTTAAGGAACCTGAAAAGGAAAGTAGATTAGCGTTGGTCTTAACGACCTTGGTTAGCGCTAGTCTTAGCGATCTGGGACTTTTTGTTGGAAGATTTAAGATTGTTAGCTCCGCTCTTTTTAATAGGCCTTACTGTGGGAGACGGAAATCCGTGAGTTAAGGTGAAGTGTGACATTTTTGGGGTTGACCTTTTATAACACTTCCCTTCCTTGTAAGAAGGCAGAATCGTTGCAGATGCTGATAGTCCGAGGGAAAAACCGTTGCAGAGTCAGCAGTACAACTTCACCCTCACATTTTTAGTAGCTGCTTTTAGTCGCATCGTTCTCCAATAGACATGCCTGGCATGGTAGAACCTACAGGAACATATGTTCCAGCCAATATAGCACGGTTCGGTTAGGCAAGCCTGATGACCACGTCAAGGTAGTAGCTACAGTCGGGTAGCTAAACAGCCTCACTGCATAAAACTAACTTCCAATTCCGTAAGAAGCATAAAAATGAATCCAATTTCTTGAAAAATCTACTGCAAGATATTAAAACGTCGAACAAATAACTAGAAGCAAGCTTTTCGAAAAGTCGCATTTTCTTTTGTTTAGTATTTTAACTACTTGTAAGTAGTCAAAATCTTTGCTTCGAATTATTTGCGAGATAATTAATAGATATATTTTTATTTTTTTTATTATTATACTTCACATACATATATATCTAGAATCATTATTTATACGGTTAATGAAGTGAAATAAATATCCTTGTTACACTCGTCACCTGGTATGCCTAAAACTATTACGGGTTCACCTTAGTCGATAAACCAGAACGAAACAATGAACCAGCATCCTGATAGACTACACTGATCCATTGACCCAAATGTAATAGCAAGAAGTCTTGATATAGCGTAGAAAGTGTATTCTACAAACACCCAACCGGCACACAATGAATCCAAGGACTCAAATTGCGTTTATTTACACACTATAGAGACGTCCTTGGGAGAGTCACGAAAATAGCACACTAAAATAACACATCAACCAATCACAGCCATGGATTATCCAGTTGAGAAATTTGATCTCAAGGTCAGCTGATCAGTCCATGAATAAAATCCAAATTAAAGACATTTATCAATCGAGTTCTGGTGATCTAACATCCTTAACAATCCTAAACACTAAAATCAAACTTGAATGTGTATGAAAGTATCTGGTAGTGGAAATCTTCAACTACTCTCACTTTATGATCTAAAAAATCACTGAATACAATTAGAGCTCACTGAATTAATATTGAAAAAAATGGAACTCCGTCAGTCTTAGCTTAACAAGTGAACTTTTTATATGTTTAACATTTAGCTGGTTTGTGAAGATTGATTAAAACTGACAAGGGATTTTTCATGAATACCAATTAAATGTATTCGATTCTGTGTTGAGTTGTAAGTATTTATTGTTAAAGAACAAAAAGTACGGATGAAGTCATTCAGTGTACAGTCTGATTTTCAGTAGTTCTGTGGTTGAAGTTAAATAAATAAATATCACCTACAAAAATTTAGCTAGTTTCTTCAAACTACTTAAATAAAAATAATCAAACTATAAAATAATCATAAATATTTTTTTACTGACTCAAATAAATGCATGAGGAATATTTTTTTAAATAAATGTGACTATCCGCTATTATTTTAAAAGTTCTCAAGATGAAACAACGCTTATACAGAGCTGAATCCATACATTAGGTCAATTTCTAAATAACTTCGATTGAAAAATCAGCAGCTTATGTGACTACTAGACCGAATGATAGTTTTTTTCAGAATAAGTTTAGTTTTCTTTATGAATACAGACATGCCTAACTAAGTGGTGCCGTAGAGCAAAGGATCGAATCTGTCACCGATATGCTCGCCAACTGATATGCTTGAATGCTATAACGAGTTCACTTTACTCGGTAAACGGAAGGAAGAGCAATGACTAAGGGACACGATAGGCTAGTCTAATCCGTTGTCCCAGCCCCGGCTAACTAAAGCAAGAAGTCTTGATAAGGCGTAGAAAATATATTCTACAAGCACCCAGAAACATTGAGGTTGTCAAGATCACAAATCAAGCTTATTTATACAATGATAAGTGAAAATATTTTATCACTAAAGACGAGAATCATTGTTAGACCACCATTAGAAATCTGGAAGCACTAGATAGCAATCAAGTTCTGGTATGGGAGTCATCGGCAGCGCGCATCCACCACACCTGCTACTCTCAGGGTTCAAACCCAGGACCTTCGGTCTTGCGCGCACACGCTTAACCTCAGGATAACTGAGCCGGTATCCAACATTTTCATTGTCTAACTCGGATCAGTCTAAGGATTTTGCGCAACCCCAACGATTTTCTTCAGTAGTTAATGTCTAAACCCGACAGGGTTGAACTCCACTGGTCACGAGTTCTCACTAGAACTTGAAGATGGATGGGGTCGCTCAAAAAACATGTTTGCCTCACCACTGAAATGGTTTTCCCACTTTCTAGTGAGAATCCCTATTATTAGATACGAATGGGAACTTAACTATAGACATATCATTATTCGAAGATTCAGGCTGAATATTTCATAACTGTAATTACCTCGAAGAAAAAACACAACCATTAACCTACTGTTAACATTACTCCACTTGACTTACCGAAATCGTCTTGTTCTACGACGTTCAGGCAATCTTCTCATTCTGAATGGTTGAGCACCAAATGCACCAAATGATGGTTGACAAACTGTTGGCTCAGACCATTGAATTCGTGATGTTGAAGCTAATTGTCTCATTTCAACTGCTGGTTGAATATTATATCCTTCTAAACCTCGTACACCTGGACGTATTTGAAACCAAACTGGTAAATCTGGATACAACTGGTCTGGATTGATTCCATAGACATTAGACTAGAAAGAATGTTTTTTTATGTAAAAGACGAAATGAATGTTGTCGAATAGGCGAGTAAAAGGTAACACTGAACCAGTGTCTCATCGTACTGTAAGACTAACGCACTACACTATCCAATGATAATCTTTAATGAGGTTGAACTTATTGTATTTACTCTAAAAATCTTTATGAACTTGTTCTAAGATCCACTACTACACAATTCCACCTGAAGTAAATTCGCATAATGATCACATGAGGTTCTAGCGGGACATTGTGCTAGTGAACAGATAATTTGGTGCGCGATACTACTTATAAGTAGTATATGACGCGATCGAAAGCTCTTAAAAACTTAATCAGTAGTTTACTATACCGAGAAATCCAACGAACGTTTTAATGCAGCTGAGAAACAATTCATGTTTTCTACACGTCCGATAGTGTTAGGATATTCACCAAATATCCTAAGAAGAATCATTTTGTAAGTGTAAATTCTATTGGTCGATTCCTGTTGGTCAATATTGTAGTCGTCCTAGCTATCAATGTCACTTACTTCAATGCTGTTTCCTATTAGACCTAAATGTATAAATACGCATTATCTGTAACGTTTTAGGACTCAGACCCGGACCCTTAGAGTCCGCGATCCTTATCCTCTTCTAGACTTGGACCTCATACTTTCTAGATGCTTGTAGAATACAAGTGCTACACGTTCATCTCAAGTCTTCTTCTTTTACTCAATATGGGGGTTGGGACACTCGGATTAGATTAACCTGTTTTGTCGCCGGATCCTCGCTCTCGTTTTCCGACTTAAGTAAACAACTCGTAATAGTTCAAGCATATCAAATTGACATTTTTACGTTCATGCGTAATAGATAGCCACTCCAAGACTGCAAGATAAATTACTTAGACTAGCCACCTGAGGTTCATCTATCAATTCAACTATTCATCCCTGTAGAGAGAATTATATTGACAGATGTTCTTGGAATTTGTATTCTAATTCTCTTGAGCAACCGCCTTTCCAGTTTGGTTAGGCAAAGGTATATAGATACATCTGTTAACAGCTCGAGTCGAGGTCAATGAATACTAACGGACAAGACACAGCGAATATCTAGCAATCATATTCGACAATATACCGTGTTAACAGCAATCTGCCAAAATCTGACAGTTTAGGAATCCTCAGGACTGTTAAAGCAATAGCTAAACGGATCGAAAAAGCGGAGCCTCACATCTAGACGAAATTTTAGGGATTATTAATTTGGGCATGTATATAATTGTAAAACCTGAGTAGTATTTATTGAAAAGAATATTCTTTATTAATATAAATGTGTTTTATTGAATATCATCTTGTCTAGTAAACAGTTCATATCTGATGGTGTCTTGCCAATGGATGTGAAGTAGTTTGAGTCGACAACTGTTAGTGAACACTTGTATTGTTTTTCTGGCTAACAATGTTTTAGCGAGTTCGTTTTCTACGTGATGACGTAGCTAACCGTATGCTTAACCCTCCTCCTTTATCCGGGCTTGGAACTGGCAGTAGCCACAGAGGCGCTCCTGGCGGTGTTGTCCAATATTTCGCAAACTGAAAACTTTATACTTGTTTACACCTTGCAACAACTGATTCAAATATCATTTTTTCTAAAAACAAACTGATATTGTTTAACGTTGTTTACTCATGTCGACATTTCAAAGGTCGTATTCAATCAAACTGTGGTGTGAGCTACTGATAAGTAGTATATGACGTGAGTGTCAACGTAATGTCTGGCAGCAAAAGATGGGGGAAGATCAAGAAAGGAAGAGTGGGAACACAATGGAATTCGTATGAAACGCATGAATAGTGAGTGACAATGGATTGATGTTGTTTGCAACAGGAACAGTCCAGTTCGATATGATGATGGACTGATATTTTGCAAATTAACAATTTACGATATGGTTTTCCAATTTTACTGAGTAACTCTGTAATTTTCGTTAAATACAATTCGTTTGCCCTCACCTGTGTTCTCGTTCACTACGAAACTTCGAAACCACTAAACATTGATGAGATGTAAACTCCTACTTACTTACTTACTTACTTTCGCCTGTTACCCCCAATGGAGCATAGGCCGCCCACCAGTTTTCTCCAACCAACTCTGTCCTGGGCTTCCCTCTCCAGTTCTGTCCAATGTTTGTTCATTCCTCTCATATCTTTCTCTATTTCTCGGCGTAGTGTGTTCCTTGGCCTTCCTCTTTTCCTTTTGCCTTGAGGGTTCCATGTGAGGGCTTGTCTAGTGACGCAGTTGGGTGCTTTTCGTAGTGTATGTCCTATCCATTTCCACCGCTTCTTCCTGATTTCCTCCTCCATTGGAATCTGACTTGTTCTCTCCCACAGTTCGTTGTTGCTGATGGTGTCTGGCCAACGAATACGAAGTATTTTGCGTAGACAACTGTTAATAAACACTTGTATCTTCTGAATGATGGCTTTGGTAGTTCTCCATGTTTCCGCTCCATACAGTAGAACTGTCTTGACATTTGTATTGAAGATCCTGATTTTGGTTTTGTTTGAAAGTTGTTTGGAGTTCCAGATATTTTTCAACTGTAGAAATGCAGCCCTTGCTTTGCCAATCCGCGCCCTCACCTCTGCGTCCGATCCACCTTTCTCGTCGATGATGCTGCCAAGATATGTGAAGGTGTTAACGTCCTCCAAGGTATCTCCATCAAGCGTGATTCGGTTAGTGCATGTTGTGTTGCATCGGAGAATTTTGCTTTTTCCTTTATGTATGTTGAGACCTACTGCTGCAGAGGCTGCTGCTACACTGGTCGTCTTCTGTTGCATTTGTTGTTGAGTGTGGGATAGAAGAGCCAGGTCATCTGCGAAGTCCAGATCGTCCAGCTGCGTCCTAACTGTCCAGTTGATACCGTGCTTCCCTCCAGATGTTGACGTCTTCATAATCCAGTCGATGACCAGGAGAAAGAGAAAGGGTGAGAGTAAGCAACCTTGCCTGACACCGGTCTTCACCTCAAAAGAGTCTGTCAGCTGACCTCCGTGTACGATTTTGCAGTTGAATCCATCATAAGAATTCCGTATGATGTTGACTATTTTCTCAGGCACACCGTAGTGTCGAAGAAGCCTCCACAGTGTTTTCCTATCCACGCTATCGAATGCTTTCTCGTAGTCGATTAAGTTGATGTAGAGTGGTGAGTTCCATTCAATTGATTGTTCCACAATGATCCGTAATGTAGCAATTTGGTCAGTACACGATCGATCCTTACGAAATCCAGCCTGTTGATCTCGAAGTTGGGCGTCTACGAAGTCCTTCATTCTGTTTAACAATACTCTGTTGAAGACTTTGCCTGGTATTGAAAGAAGAGTGATGCCTCTGTAGTTTTCACACTTGCTGAGATCGCCTTTCTTTGGTATTTTGATGAGGTATCCTTCTTTCCAATCTGATGGTACTTGTTCCTCATCCCAAATCTTCTTGAAGAGAATGTGAAATATTTTCACAGTTGCTTCCACATCTGCTTTCATTGCCTCTGTTGGAATGTTGTCTGGTCCTGCTGCTTTGCCGCTCTTGATTTGTCTGATGGCTATACTGATCTCCTCAATCGTAGGTGCGCCAATATTAATTGGGAGGTCCGTGGATGCTGCTTCGATGTTGGGTGGGTTCAGTGGATCTGGTCGATTCAATAGTTCCTTAAAGTGCTCTACCCACCTATTTCGCTGTTCTTCAGTGTTGCTGATTACTTTGCCTTCCTTGCTTTTCACTGGTCGTTCTGGTTTACGACAGTTCCCGGCGAGCTTCTTTGTGGTTTCGTACAATTGTCTCAAGTTTCCTTCTCTTGCAGCCTTTTCCGCCGTCATTGCTTGATCTTCCACATATTTTCGTTTGTCAGCTCTGGTGCTCTTCTTCACTTCCCTGTTTGCTTCTGTATACTCGGCTTGCGCCTTAACTTTCTCTGCTCTTGTTCGGCAGACATTGATAGCTGCCTTCTTGTTCCTCCTTTCTTGAATTTTTTCAAGAGTACCAACAGAGATCCATTCCTTGTGATGGTGCTTCTTGTGACCCAGAACTTCGTGACATGTTGAAGTGATTGCCTCTTTAATCCCTTTCCAATTGTTCTCCAGTGTTGCGTCCTCTCCATCGAGTAGATTGTGAAAGGCCTGGAACCTATTGGTGAGGGCTATCCTGAATTCGTTTAGCTTTAGAGTATCCCGAAGAAATGCCGTATTAAACTTCTGTGATGTTGTCTGCCCCGCTGTCCAGTGCTTCTTTAGCTTCAATCTCATTTTGGCGATCAGCAAGTGGTGATCTGAAGCTATATCAGCTCCTCTCTTGGTTCTCACATCCTCCATGGTCCTTCTGAACTTTTTGTTGATACAGATATGGTCAATTTGGTTTTGAGTAGTGTGGTCCGGTGAAATCCATGTGGCTTTGTGAATGCGTTTGTGCGGGAATATTGTGCCACCGATGACCAACCTTGGCATTCAGGTCTCCCATAAGAATCGTCAAATCCTTTGGTGAACATTTATCGACGACTGACTGCAGCCTTTCGTAGAATTGATCTTTAACGTCGTTATTGTAGTCATTGGTAAGTGCATAACATTGGATGACGTTCATTGTAATGTCCCCTTTCTTTGTTTTGAAGGATGCTTTAATGATCCTGGGTCCATGAGATTCCCATCCTATCAGTGCCTTTTGTGCATGTTTGGACAGCATCAGTTCAACTCCTTGTGTATGTGAAGCGTTTTCCTCTTCATGACCAGAGTATAACAGCAGTTCCCCTGAAGCAAGTCTCAGTTGTCCTACCTGTGTCCAATGTGTTTCACTGATTCCAAGCACCTCGAGGTTGTATCTTTTCATTTCTGCCGCAACTTGAAATAGTCTTCCAGTCTCCCACAATGTACGAACGTTCCATGTACCTAAAAAAATGGTTGCTCTGGTTGTCAGAAGAGGCATCGGCCCCGTGACTTCCGAGGGAACTCGGCTTTCATCACGAGACGTCATAATTCTTCTTCCAACTCCCAGGGCAGAGTTAAAATGGTTTGAATTATTATTTCTGGTTAGCGTTTTTTTGGCAAGTTAGATTTCAACGGAATGGGGCCGCCAACCCCATGTCCAACCCTCCTCCTTTATCCGGGCTTGGGACCGGCAGTAGCCCCTAAGGTTCCTACGCTAATATGATTTTTATGGTAAATATATATACTACTTATGAGAAAAAAAACAAGCCAAACTACTTTCAAAGCTTATAAATATCACTAGCATATATTAATAATATTGTAAATCACTAATATTTTTACTTGATGAAAAAATATTTCCAAATTACGAAAATCCGCTACAATGATACCAAAATGTTCCATTGTATTAAACCATCGGATACGTCCTCTATTCCATTTGCCTGGACCAATATATGGATCATATTCTTGTGGAATACGTGGCGGTAATGGTGGAGGTCGTCGTGGTGGTCGTGGCGGTTCCCATTCACGTGACAGGTGTTCATATGAACCGACATATTTTGATTTAAACATTCTATCTGAAATCAATGGATACAAACAAATAGAAAAAAAAATGGTAGGCATGAAGACAATGAGATTTGTCTTGGATAATAACTGAAATCATGAATGAATAGTTATGTTAGACCATCACCGTTTAAAACATGAAAATCACTGAAAGACGGTCGTTTCGTTTTGGTATGTGTTAGGGACGTTCGGTTCCTAGAGCTTACTAGGAAAGGTCTTAATTTTGTCATTTTATTTCAAAATTTTGAATTTCCCTGTTTTCACACCGGTTGACCTTCAACCTATATTTCCCACTCGGAAAATCCTTGACTGTCATTGGTTGATGCATTATTTCAGTACTCTCTCACAAGGGCGTCTCTATCGTGGTATAAATAAGCTCGATTTGTGTGCTTAGGCACCTTGTATTTTCTGGGTTCTTGTAGAATACACTTTCTACGACTTAACAAGACTTCTTCCTCTAATTAGTGAGTCATTGGGACGCTCGGATTACGATACCCTATCATGTCACTGGATCATTTGTCTTCACTATCGTTTACCGACTACGGTGAACTCGTAATAGCGTTCAAGCATATCTGTATGGGACTTTTCAGCACTGCGCAATGGACCGCTGCGCTGCTAACGAGTTCCCACTACAGGATAAAACGACCATCTTTCATTGCTTCCAGGTTTCTAATCATGATGGTCTAACACAATGATTCATTTAAGATTTCACTGTGTAAAAAAACAAACCGTCTCCATAATAGTACGGTACAAAATAATAATAATAATAATAATAATTGTTCAAAATTCAAGGATTTCAAAAGTGCAGTAAAACAATTTTCTTTATTACATTTTTGGCTATCAAACCTTGAAAAACATTGTCTTGATCATGATTTTTTCTACAAAATATTTCTTAGCATTATTTAATTGAATTCAAAATATTCTTTTTGGTAGATATTTACATTGTCGACTGTCAGCCGGCTCCATGATCCCGATGGGTAAGTGTTGGCACGCAAAACTGAAGGTCCTAGATTCAAATCCTGTGAGTTGCAAGAGTCGTGGATGCGCACTGCTGATGAGTTCAATACCAGGACGAGATGGACATCTTTCAGTGTGTTAGGATATTCATCTAATATCCTAAGAGAATTATTGGTCAAATCCTATTGGTCGATTTCTATTAGTCAAAATTATGGCCGTTTCAACTGTCAAAGTCAAATACTTCAATGTTGTCGCTTATTGGTCATCCGGACTATCAATGTCAATTAAAATGGTACTTCCTATTGGTCGTCTTAACTGTCAATGCCACAGAATTCGATGCTGTTTCCTATTCGACCAAACTGTATAACTACGCATTATCTGTAACGTTTCATGACCAGGACCAGGACCCGGTCCCGGATCCCTAGTCCGGGATCCTGATTCTCCTCTGGATTCGGACCTCGTACTTTCTGGATGCTTGTAGAATACAGACTCTACTTCATATCAATTCTTCTTATTTTCACTAAATATGGGGGTTGGGATAATCGGATTTGAGTAGCATGTCGTGTCACCGGATCGTCGATCCTCGCTCTCGCGTTCCCGACTAGGTAAACTCGTAATAATAGTTCAAGTATATCAAGTTGACATGTTACGTGCAGGCGTAACACAGTGCTTCCAGGTTTTCTCATAATGGTTTAACAATGATTCATTTATGATTTCAATGTCAAATAAAAGATCGCTTTTGTTTAAGTCAGAACTATGAAGTTTCAGGAGACGTTGGTTACTAGTTTTCAGATTCGCTGATGGTTGAATATAATCACGAGCACATATTTAGTTTCCATGGTAAATACGAAACTAATCAGTTATGAAAAACCTCTGTGTGAATGTAGAATGGATGACTTACTACGTCAGAGATTCTCACTACAAACGTCTTTTTTTGATTCTGTAATGAGAAGTTACAATCGCCAGTTCAGTAAATGACATGTTTTCTATCATTGATAACGATTTCCAGTTACATTATATTATATAAAATAAACTGAATATATATGTATGTGTCATGGATCTTTTCTAGGTGTGGTACTCGTGTGGTGCGCGCTACTTATAAAAAGTATATGACGCGAGTGTAAACGTAATGTCTGGCAGCAGAAGATGGGGGAAGATCAAGAGAAAGGAAGAAGAGTGGGAACACCATGGAATTTGTATGAAACGCATGAACAATGAAATGTCAGACAATGGATTGGTGATGGATTGATGTTTTGCAGATTAACGGTTTACGATATGGTTTTCCTATTTTACTGAGTAACTCTGTAATTTTCGTTAAATACAATTCGGTTGACCTCACCTGTGTTCTCCTTCACTACACTCGTAGTGAACACATAAAAGCTCACCTATTTCATTCCTTATATGATTACAGGTTGTGTTCGACTGATTAGCGTTTTTTTATGGCGAGTTAGTTTTCAATGGGATACGTTCATCCCTACCTCACACATAACCCTTGTTATAATCGTCAATTCATATGCTTGAATTATTACGAGTTCACTTTACTCGGTAAACGAGAGCGAAGGCAATGATCCATTGACATGATAGGCTACTCTAATCCGAGCGTCCCAAGCCCGCAATAACGGTATCAAAAAGTCTTGATATGGCGTAAAAAGTGTATTCTACAAGCACCCAGAAAATATGAAGTTTTCTACAGAAAAGGAAGAAGAAAAGCAGCATAAAACTTTACAGTCAATACATATTTATACAGCCAGGTCGACTGTCACTATTAACCAATAAGAAACAAGATTTAACAGAATGTGAACTTGATAGTTTGAGATGACCTTAATTATTGACCAATAGGAATCGACCAATAGAATTAGACTCATAGAATAATTTCTTCAGATTATTTGATGAATATCCTAACAACCTTCCTCCTTTATCCGAACATGGGACTGGCAGTAACCCCACAGGGGGCTCCAGGTGGGGTTTGTGCCCTATTGAACAGTCCTAAATTATGCCCAAAACAACTATCCTCATTACTAATTGAACATAATGAAAAGATCAAAGTTTCACGGAATGAAAATGCTTTGCATAGTAAAAAAACTACTCTTCTTTATGTATACTATTCTGTTATCATTCTATCATGTTTATAACATTCTCTGATAAAAAATATTTTTAATCGGTTGTTTTGTTTTGTTTGATTCGTGTTGACAAAACAAAAAACAACATTGACGCAATCGGAACAGATAATTTTTATTGATTTATTGATACGGTGAACATTTTCACAACCACAACAATATCAACAACAACAAATCGATCAGTCAATGAATAAATAAACTTAAAAAAATGAACTTTTTTCCAACCCAATTTCGGGGCTTCTTACACAATAATTTCAATTTTTAAAAATGTGATTTTGTTTCAATGTTCAATATTTCGAAGTGGATGAGTTTTTTTTTTTACAAAAAAAAAAAAGAAAAACGTTACATGAATCAAAGTGAGTTGGCGATTTTGAAATAATCATTAAATTTAGTTTTTATTAGGTTTGAATGAGTAGATTGAAGTGAGTGAAAATTACATTCCAATGAACTATTGTTAAACTGGTGTAGTGTGTCGATTTACTGCGTGTGTTCTTAAGCTCGGTAATTAACTCGTTCAGACAATCGTTGCCAAATAGCGTCTGACGGTTTATAAATCAGAAGATGAATACGTTTATTTTTGGGACACACCACAAAGTGAAGCGGAGAAGCAGTGAATAAAACGAACGAAGCGACGTGAACTGAAGAAGGCTAATGAGCCAACTCAAAGAGATAGAGTATGACTAAGAATATATAGTCAGACAAAAATAAGACAGACATATGACAAGCGAAATAGGCAGGCACAGACATGAATAAAAGCGACGAATGACTGACAAGGTCAAATAACAAGTGGAACACATCATGTGAGCTCATACAAACCAGACAATAATAAGAACGAATGGGTACATACAAGTTGTTGCTACGCGAATGACTTGGTTAAATAGATTAATCGAAAGGGTTTAACCAAGTTAGATGTAAGCGAATTGGAATATTATATGTGCAGGCACTACACCGGCACTAAAAACATGGAAGCATTGAAAGACGATCGTTTTCTCCTGTGGTAGGGACTCATTAGTGGCAGTGCGCATTCATAACCCCGGTTAGTAGCAGGAGAATGGAACCCAGGACTTTTGGTCTTGTTGGTGAACGCTTGACCTCTGGATCATTGAACCTGCATCTAACGGTCCAGGACAAAAACACCTGTCTAGTGCTTTCAGCCCTAGTGACTAGCTTTGTGAGGAAATTCTCGGAGTTCTAGTTGAGAAGATGTGTGACCAGTGGAGTTCAACCCCTATCGGTTGTAGGCAGTTAGTTACCTACGGAAGACAAATGGGTGAGGTTGCGCGAAAATCCTCAGATTGATCAGACTTAGATACAAAAACCGTTAGATGGCATCCAACTTAATAGTCCAGAGGCTAGGCGTTCGTGCACAATACCAAAAGTTCCGGGTTCGAATCCTGCGAGGTGCATGAGTCGTAGATGCGCACTACCACTGATGAGTCCTATACCAGGATGAAATCTCTGTCCAGTGTTTCCAGGTTTCTAATGGTGGCAGTCTAACAATGATTGATTGATAATTTCAAATGTGTAAAAAACACTGATCTCCATAACTCTAATTGAATATATCGTAAAAAATATACTCAGTAGTGACTAGCTTCTTGAGGAAATTCTCGGAGTTCTAGTTGAGAAGATATGTGACCAGTGGAGTTCAACCCTGTCGGTTGTAGGCAGTTAGTTACCTACGGAGGACAAATGGGTGAGGTTGACCAGACTTAGATATTAAAACCGTTAGATGGCATCCAACTCAATGATCCAGAGGTTAGGCGTTCGTACACAATACCAAAGGTTCCGGGTTCGAATTCTGCGAGGTGTAGGAGTCGATGATGCGCACTACCACTGATGAGTCCTATACCAGGATGAAACCTCTGTCCAGTTCTTTCAGGTTTCTAATGGTGGCAGTCTAACAATGATTGATTGATGATTTAAAATGATTGTTAAAGTCA